TATTTTTGTAAAATGTTTTTGAGAACAGTGTATTAAAATAATTTAAAAATATAAATAAAATTAATTTAAAAAAATTCAAAATTTTATAAAATACGGTAAACACGAACTAAATCCAAATGCTCGCCGCCTCCTTAAATCCAACCATAGCCACATCAGCTTCCACCTAATTAATTGAAGGACAAGTATTAAAAACGCCATTATTTTTATTCTTTAATACTCCCAATAAATTAATTAATTTATTAAGCATTCAGTTACCTTTAACTCTCTCTGTTGTCAAGCAAACCTTCTCCGCGTTATTCATTTAGCAAAGAGTTGACAAAACCCAAAATCTCCTCTTTTGCTCCTCTTTGATCAGGTAAACAAAAAGGAAAAACCCTTCAACAGATCTGTGTATATTTTTATATTTATTTTGATGAGCATGAGCTCTGATTCTTGCATGGATTTTCATTTTTTGACGTCTGGGTTTTGTTTTTGCATTAGAGTTATCATTGTTTGACACCAAGACTTATGCTTTCTTTTTTGGTTTCATGTTTAAGCTCTGTTTGATAATGAGAACAGGGTGGTATATTATTGTGTTATATTATTGACTCGTTGCTTTTTGTTTAATTGTTATTATAATGCAGATTGGTTCGTGGCTTTTTATTTAAGTTTATGATTGACCCATTGGATGTTTTGAAAAGATAGTGGGGTTTTAGCTGGTGAAATTGTGTGTTGGAGATGTGAATTGGAGTGGTTTAAATATGTTAATATCTGGATTTGTATTTAAATGCTATTGTAGATAGCATAATTGAGGTTTGATTGACTTTGTGAATTGTGAAGAGAGTTGGAATTTAGTTTCTGTATATTGGGGGGGTTCAAGATGATTGGGAGAAAAAATATGGGGCGAGCTTCGCCATTGCTATTGGTGCTTTTGGCACTAGGGTTTTTCTTTGCCACGTATAACTTGTTGACTTTGGTAATACAATATAAGGATTCTAGTACAGGACTTGGATCAGGGATTTCTGATCCTGTTACAGAGATGCCAGCCAATTCTCGGAAATTAGGGAAGTCAAATTTGAAATTCCATGTTGCTCTTACGGCTACTGATGCTCCTTATAGTCAATGGCAATGCCGGATTATGTATTATTGGTATAAGAAGATGAAAAACATGCCAGGATCAGACATGGGAAAGTTTACTCGAGTGTTGCATTCAGGAAAAGGTGATCATTTGATGGACGAGATTCCAACTTTTGTTGTTGATCCTCTTCCGGAGGGCCTAGATCGGGTGAGATTTTCTGTTTTCACGTTCCCTGTTGCTTATATTTATTCACCGGCTTTTATTCTGTTACATGTTGATTTCCAAGTTAAAATTATTGTGAACTTGAATTTGCTTTGGGAAATTTATAGGTCTCAGATGTTTTTTTCATTTTGCTTCTAGGCTTACATATTGTAGTATTGTGAATTTAAAATGTTATTGGTAATTTATAAAGAGATCCAGGAGGTGTTCTGTGCATCAATAGCATGAATTATATTGAGGTAATTTTCATTTTATTCTATTATATCTCTGGGGCATGCCATCAAACTTGACATTTCTTATGCAACGTTGTTTTAGATTGACTTCTGTGAGCAGTGATGCTGACTCTTGATGTGTTTCCCAGCCAAGTCGCTGCCTTTTCCAAATCTTAGAGGAAAGCAGTCACTGCTCATGGTTTACTGCTATCAGTAATTAGTTAATTACATAATTTGCTCATATGGCCATTTCACGCTATATCCAGGGATATATTGTCTTGAATAGACCATGGGCTTTTGTGCAATGGCTGGAAAAGGCAACAATTGAGGAAGAGTAAGTTCTTAAAGTTATGGTCCTCATTTTCTTCTTTTTTTCTTGCTTTTGCTTTATGACATCTGACAATCGGTGATTATAAGACTGATACAGAAGCACTTTGTGATAAAAACAGATACATTCTAATGGCAGAGCCTGACCACATATTTGCAAATCCTTTGCCTAACTTGGCACATGGTTATAATCCAGCAGGGTTTCCATTTTTCTATATTAAACCAACTGAACATGAGAAAATTGTTAGAAAGTTTTATCCTGAGGACAAGGGTCCTGTGACAGATGTTGATCCAATTGGCAATTCCCCTGTAATAATAAAAAAGGTACAACTCTTATTGCAATTGCAGCCAGTTTAAACCAATTGTTCTGAGAATTTTTTGTGTTTCCATGTTTGTTATCAGAATCCCAATATTGTGGGAGTATATTTTGAAATTCATTTAGAAACCCATAGTGCTAATCATTGTTTATACAAAGCACCCCAATATTGAGGGAATATAATTTGAAATTCATTTAGAAACCCATAGTGCTAATCATTTTTTATACAAAGCACCACTGTCCTTGTTGTCAGAATATCACTATTATCGTGATCATTGAGATGGACTAATTTCGTTTACTTGAAACAATATTTCCGTATCAACATTGGATGAACTACCTGAATCTTTACAGTCCCTGCTGGAGGAAATTTCACCAACATGGGTGAATGTTTCGTTAAGAATGAAAGATGACCCGGAGACTGATAAGGCATTTGGTTGGGTGCTAGAGATGTGAGTAATATATAATTGGATTCTTTCTATTTTGCTAATGAAATTTAATTCTTGAATGGTTGGAATACTTCAATGCTGCTCACATGTCTCTGTTGATATAAGGTATGCCTATGCTGTAGCATCAGCATTGCATGGTGTACGGCATATACTTCGTAAAGACTTTATGCTACAGGTATGTATGGCATATGCTAATGCTTCTTGCATCTCTCTATTTTGTGAAGTCACTTTTAAAGAGTTACATATATCCATTTATGTTTCAGCCCCCATGGGATTTGGAAGTTGGTAAGAGATTTATCATCCACTATACTTATGGATGCGACTATAATATGAAGGTAAAGAAAGGGATCTCTCTCTCTCTCTCTCACACACACACACACATATTTATTCTTATCTTCTATGATATTGATGTTTTAACTTTATTCTTCACCTTCTATTTCTGTTTGTTTGTTTTTGATTAGTTTCATAAAAACAACCGATATTTAATTCTTAGTTTGTTTACCATAATTTGTTAATTTTTCAGGGAGAATTAACATATGGAAAGATTGGAGAATGGCGGTTTGACAAGAGATCCTATCTCAGTGGTCCTCCACCAAAGAACCTCACCCTGCCCCCACCAGGGGTTCCTGAAAGCGTGGTAAGTTCACAACTAGATTTTTTACAAGGGATAATTGGGGAAATCATATTATACAGATGTCAAAAAATTCATGTTTGATGAGCGGGATTAGAGGAAAAATATTGAAATTAAGTCTACCTGGAACTAGAATACACAGCACTTGCGGATAAAACTACGATATTTTGATAAAGGTTGTAATAAGTTGGCCAAGTTTAACTTTCTCAAAATGGCCTTCACACAGACGCAATTATTTGTTTACTTGCTATAATGGGGATGCTTGAATGCATGGGTTGAAGTTACTTTTCAAGGAGTGTACGAATTAGTTGCCAACCGGGCTTTATCCATGGACTGGAGATGTACAAGAGAATTGTCATCCCTGTACAGAAGGAAAAAAAATTAAATAATGAATTGATAATTTGTAGAAGGCGTTACTGCATTGTCCATGATGCTTTCCCTGAAAAGCTGCATATAATAAACTATTTGATACATCGATTGGAATTGTTTACACCAACCATTTATATTGTCAAGGTTTTGGTTTACATCAACTTGGCATGCTAACCATCCTGATCACTTGCAATGTGAAACTGTCTATGTTATTATGTAGTATAGAGCAAAAGCCTTGTTTGCTCTCCATCCAACACAATGAAAAACTACATGGACCTAACATCCTAGGTTGAAAGAAACCAAAACATCCATGCATTAAGTTTATCAAGCATTCTTGGTCTCTTATGTCATCCTTATCCGGTGTGAAATAAAGGGTTCTGTTATATATACTGTTTTTCGTAGTCACTTATCCCATGGGAACTGATAGTTAAGATGGTGATTGATATCTGAAGTACAAGTCATTATACTATACTATATTTCATTTGCACGAAACATATACCATGGATACGAAGGCACTTTATTTGCTCCCCGTCTCTCTCATTGAGTTAACAATCCATTCATCATGATTCTCTGCAGGTGAGACTTGTAAAGATGGTGAATGAGGCTACAGCTAACATTCCAGGCTGGGACTCATTGAACAGTGGCTGAGATCTATATGTGGATCATGAGCACATTGATTCGTGGTTCAGTGTAATATCCTCCAGTAGAGATTCACTCATACGATCTACTCGGTAACAAAAGAGTGGTATATGAAAATAGGAATGCCTTCACAAAAGAGGGATCTTTGGTTAGTGACACGTGATTTAATCAAGGACTCTGAATTCTTTTTGTACACATATCTGCTACGCTTGAGATAGTGCTGAGCTAATTTTGAATATTTCAGACCTGTAAATTGAGACTTTCTTGCTTTCACAGTTTGTGATGCTCATTGCTGTTTATGAAACGATGGTGAAGAAGTTGTCTTGTGCTTAACCGTGGCTGAAAGCCAGTGGGCAGGTTAATTTTATAGATAATACTCAGAGATAACTAAAAGCATATATCTAATTATTTTAATAATATATTGGTATTAAAAATAATTTTTTAAAAATAAAAAAATATTATTTTAATATATTTTTTAATAAAAAATACTTTTAAAAATAACCATTAACTACATTTCTAAACAGATTTTTAGTGGTTATGTGTTTCATCTGGCTGGCATGGTTTAAGTGAACCCATAGAGCTCTTATTCTGCAAGCTTTAGGTTTCAATAGCATGAGTCGTGGACTGAGGATTAAAATTTCAAGCCATCTCTATGCCTATCCAATTGCGTTTTGTTAATGTGTCGGCACCGATTAAAACTTTTTTGGGTTTGCAAGGGTAATGGATTTTTTTCCTGAGATCTTCTAGTATTCATGAGCTCAATTTCATTATAAAACACTATCAGTAGAGTAAGAAGAGGGATTCTTTTTTCTTTTTCTTTTTCTTTTTTAGCTGTGGGCACAATAGCTAATGTTGCCGAGTATGTAACAAAGATCTTCATGGATGATTGGTTGGTTTGGATGGTCTTGTAGTGAGGGAGGGCCTCATTTGAACAATTTGTTCTTCATCAACTCCCATGCTTTTAGCATAAAGTCCTGCTTCGAAGAATCGTTTCAGTGCATCCTCCATGTAATCATTACCTTGCTTGACTGTCATTTCCCTCCCTATTTTGTCAGGGTAACTCGTCAAAATATGATCTCCTTTTAGCACAGCTGCAAGCTGTAGTAGCTCCTGCTGGAATTCAGTAAGCTTGGCATCTTCATTGGGCTCGCTCTTCCTGACCTGAGTTGGAGTTGGTAGTTGCTCTATTCAGAAGTGAGGATGAGAACATAAACAGTTAGCAAAAAGCTAAAGAATTCAGCTTGGAAAACAAGTTAGGTGACTGACCTGGGCAATCAGTTCTGGGCTCAGTCCGAGTCTGTAAGATTCCTTCAAAGGTACCCGCCCATTCATCCCTCCTTGTCAAGTAAGGAGACGGCATGTTAAAGAGCTTCTTCACCGTCGCAGGAATGGATGAGTGTTCGTATTCTGATGTTGAAAATGGTGACCCATTAGGTCCATGGACAACTGCATCACAATGCCGAAGTAACATTTATCAATTTTTGGTTAATTTTTTCATTTGATAATAATCAGCAAAAGCAGGGCATGATGATGCTATACATTGATAAATGGTCATGCCTTCCATTCAAAAAACTCACCCTCGAGATCTTGAGTTTTCAGAAAACAACATCAATCGCTACAAAATGATCATAATCATAGGAACTACCTCTGATACCTAACGTCATGCCAAGAAGCTTGAAATTTAGGTCTATTTTTCGTTCGAGTCCCAGTACTTTTGGGTTTTACCACGGGCCCACAATATGACGGACTCAATCTCGAAAAGTAAACTAGAAAAGCATGATTGATGAAGATCCGTGCTCATGTTAGGCTACCTGTTGGCTTAGTTAGTGCTCCATATTCCTCGATCTCTTGCACGCAAAACCTTTTTCGGCAACAAAGCAGAAATCCACTACCTTTCCTCTCTTTCTTTCAACTACATGCACCTTTTAAGACGGTGTAGAAAAAAACTTGCACCCAGTTTTCCCGAAGTTTCTGTCCAAACGGGAAAGGACTCAACGACACCCTAACCACCCCATAATTAATTTCCTCGCATGTTTCGTTGGTTGAGAAAAAGAAGAGAAGTGACAAATTGGCAGCTCTCACTTTTTGCTAGCCTGATTTTCATCCACAAGGATTTCGTTTCACATTGTGTATGTATATATATACATTGACAATGGATGAGTACTAAAAACACGAGAGAAGTGGAAGGTCACCTGTTCTCTTTTCGTATCAAAAGCAGTGTGAAATAGGTAGCACATATTGCACATAAACTAACAGTTAGTCGTAAAGGTGATGCTGAGAGTAACATTCAAGTAAAGTTAGCCATTAATCATACATGATAATGCTAGGAATATAATTCCCACGATGATATTATCCTGTTCGGTAAGCTAAAATCCCTAAAAAGGAAAAAAAAAGAAAAGAAGAGATGGTTGAAATTTGAAAGTGATATGAAAAGAGATGGTTGAAATTTGAAAGTGATATGCTACTTACCGGTTCCCTTCTCTATCCAAGGTGAGACCACGATTGTAGGAACTCTAACCCCAAGTCTATCAAACTTGAACAAAAATGGCTCAGGTCCCACAATGTCATCGGGACTAGGGACCCCACTCACAGGTGTAGCCACATGATCATAGAACCCACCATGCTCGTCATATGTGATTACCAATAGAGTTTCGTTCCATTGTGGACTTGCCCTTAGTGTCTCGTACACCTGCAATATTGACAATCACAAGAACATCTTTGACAATTTGAGAAGGAAAAGAAAAGTAAACATACGTTTTAAGAGAAACTATAGCTCAGAACAATCCCAATAATGAGGTAGATTCTCTAATGAAAGATTAATTAATGCAATCTTTGCATACTTGTGAATGTGTGTATGAATTATATGAATACGTACGAATGACTTCAATATATATATATATATAAAAAGTTTATGAGTACCTCTTTGACAAACATTTGCCCTTGATAAACATCATGGGAAGGATGATCGTCGTTGGCAGGAGATATCTTGATGTCCATGTACCGCTGCTCAAGCACGGCATAACCAGGAAGTTTGCCTTGTTTTGCATGTTTTTTAAACGACATGCCATAAGGATGGAATTTAGTGATGTACTTGAGCTTCCTTAAGTTCCTGTAAAACAATGTGGCGGGAATGTTCTGATAGTATATTCCCCAAGATATTCCAGCATCGTCAAGGTTCTCGAAAATTGTTCTTTGGGGGTACCCCTTAACGAGCAATGCCGGAATGTTGCTGGTAGCTCCGGCGGATGTGCCTGAGTGAACAAATAGACGGTTGGGTTGTGTGGATGATGGCACAGAAGCAAACCACCTGCCAAAGCACGATTTTTTTTTGTTAAATTAGACATTGCATGTGCTTATACTAGTAATCGCGAAATCATGTCAACAATATACAAATGTTTGTGCAATAGATTAACCAAAAAGTATAGCTAAGTGGATATTTTGAAGTTTATAAATTAATTTAATACTTCCAAAAAAAATCCTCTTTTTTTCTAAATAAAAGACATACAAGTATAAACACGCACGCATATTAATTTGGAGGATTAAAAACCCCACGTTATTTTCTCAAAATAAAAAATAAAATTCTGTGTCATATTCAAAACACTTGCAATAATTGTTTTTTTAAAAAAAAAGAAGAAAAAAAAAATCGGATTCCTACCAATTTCAACATGAAAACCATATCCATCAAATACTCTCTCTCTCTCTGATTTGTTGTTATGATAAGAATTTAATCTGAAATTCAATCTAGTTGCCATTGGGACATTCCTGAGATTAAAAAAGACATCAATGAATTATATTTTCGGGTAAATATCAGTATCTTCACATCGAAATCATTGAAAACGGAATCTTTATGTAGTAAATTACTTAAACGTGGACCGACAAAAAAGTAGCTGTACCTGTCAAAGACAGAAAATTCAGATACAAGTGTCTTGTACACAGCTACCATATCAGGCTCAAATCCATTCATGACATCCCGAGACAAGTTGGTCGATGTGTCCATCGAGAAAGCCTGTTGAGCAAAGCCATTCATGGGAGGAGGATTCTTGGATGTGTCTTCAGACCCAAATATTTGCTCCCTTATTGCTTGAAAAGAGTGGCCAGGATCAGGGTCAACATACTGAGCTTGGTTATTGGTGAAGAATTTCTGCGAACTTGGATCGCTTATGTTCAATGGATTCCACTGAGTGCCATCAACACCATTGATTTCAGGGTTGATTTTCTTCATCCAACCTAGCATGTGATCAAAAGAACGATTTTCCATCACTACTACCACTACAGTTTTTATCGAGCTTGCATGGATTCGGTCATGGAGGAGTAGGAGGAGGAGGAGGAGGAGAAAGATGGCAGTGGGTCTTTTTGTGGACATGTTTTGTTGCATTCGGAGATGGATCAGAGGGGAGAAAGGAGAGGATGATCTTTCACCTTTTGGTTACGGCTATGTTTGACGATTTCTGTAATCAAGCCCGTGACCTTTTTTATAGTGTGCTCGTTACAGGGGCAGTCGATTGTATTGAATTAAACTTCGATACTGTTTGTTTTTTTTTATTATTGATGTGGGGTGTCTGGGCAGCTTACGCGCACCACGACTAATCCTCACGGTCCACTGAACATCCTGCAAGTCCAGTGAACAGGTAAGGCACCGCGGGGATATGTTTACGGCTATGTTTGACGATTTCTGTAATCAAGCCCGTGACCTTTTTTATAGTGTGCTCGTTACAAGGGCAGTCGGTTGTATTGAATTAAACTTGGATACTGTTTGTTTTAAACGCGTGGTTGTGACAATTTATTTATTTATTTTTAAATTATTTTGATGTTGTGATATTAACAATAAATTTTTAAAATATATTATTTTTATATATCTTGCAAAGAAATTATTGTTATAATATTAAATAGTATCTTTATGGATGGTGTTGCTTCTTTGTTTTGCTACGGGGCCAGAACCTCACTTGCTCGATATTGTTTGTTTTAAACGCGTGGTTATGACAATTTATTTATTTATTTTTAAATTAGTTATGACACAAATATTTGAGTTTTTTTTAAATTGCACATTATTTAAAAATATGGCAATCTCATTTTTAATAAACACAGTTTGATAAAAAAAAAATATACTTGCAAACTATAATTTTTAAAAAACTTGTAATTGGAGAGCAGCAATATTTTAAACAAATTGTTAAAATTATCTTCCATAAATTTTAAGAAAAATAAAGGAATGATAAGAGAAAAGAAAAGAATAAGACATGAAAATATAATAAAATTCTGATTATAATATTCCATGTATTATAAAAAATATCTCAACAGGGTAAATCTAACTTCCATGAAAAAAAACCGTCAATAATTATTGAAAAGGATTACACATTAAAAAAAAAAAAAGAATTAGCCACTCATTTCTATTTAATGACACTATGATTCATTTTGATCATTATTAATGATTTTTATTAATATTATTGGATACATCTCATAAGAAAAAATTGATGATTTTAAAGGTGTTGTCATCAAACTTTTACTTATCCATAGAATCTCATTTATTCATTCTTTTTTATTCTTTTTTCCTTTTTGTCTCATTAAAATTTATTTCGGCCATTTTAACTCTATGTTTAAAATGCCTCACTTTCCAACAACTACTTTTTAAAAAAACATGCTTTTCACTGATGATTTTTATTAAATTGTGTTATTTTTCTAAGAACATCGTACGGTGCTAGTTTGCCAAAAATTTAAATTACATTCAAATTAAACCAAAACAAATTAAAAAGAGGGGAAAATGTAAATTTGCTCCGTATTGGAAGGTCTGAATCTTGGCCACTCAAAAGCCGGTAAAGAAGCTAAATGTTTGTTCATTTGGTATTGTGATGTCGGTATGGTTAAAAATGTTTTTAGACTGAGTATAATTTCAAAAGTTATTTGATTTCTATGGCTTAAACCTGCTTTTCATCTCAAAAAGCTATAATTTATAGTGTTTTTTAAATTCATTTTTTTAAAATAAAAATTACCACAATATCAAACACATATTATAATAAAAACAAATTAAAAATAAAACCAAAAAAACTTTTAAAAATGCTTAAAACTTTCAAGTAGAATCTTTTTAATTTCTCTATTGAGTTAGCTCGTATAAGTCGAGGTCTCCAATGATCGGCTCTTTTATCTTAAAAACGCTTAAAACTTTTAAGTAAATTATAAAGCATTGTTTTGATATTTTTATATTAAAAATAAATTTAAAAATATATTATTTTTATATATTTTTAAAAACTATTATTATAATATCAAACATTATCTTTACGGAGGGTGTTCCTTTTTTATTTATTTTTTTTTAACTATGGGGATAGTTCTGTTATGACACAAATAATTGAGTTTTTAAAAAAATTACAAATTGTTTAAAAATATGGCAATCTCATTTTTTTTATTTTTGAAAAATAACACTGTTTGATAAAAATTATAGGTGCAAACTATGATTTTTTTAAAATCTCATAATTGGAGAGTAGCAATATTTTAAATAAATTATTAAAATTATCTAACATAAATTTAAAGAAAAATAAAGGAATGATCGGTAAAAATAAAAAAATAAGACATGAAAATACAATGAAGTTTGTATCATGACATTCTATATATCATCAAAAATATATCTACAAAACAAATCTAATACCCATAAAAAAGTCATTAATAATGATTGGAATGGGTCGCAAGTACTACAAAAAGGCCAATTAGTCACCTGCCATCATTTGATTACACGTAAAATTTATTTTGATAAGAAATGATAATTTTTTTTAGTGTTATTAAATTTATTTTATCAAAAAAATTTAAATAATTTTATGATATTATCATTGAAACTTTTGTTTGTCCATAGAATCTCATTCATTCATTCTTTTCTTTTTATTTTATTGAAATTTATGTTAGCCATTTTAACTATTTGTTTAAAATGCCCCCACTTTCCAACAATACTTAAAAAAAAAACATAATTCTCACCTATGACTTTTATTAAATTGTGTTATTTTCCAAAATAATAAAATTACGGTGCTAGTTTACTAAAATTTCAAATCACTTTCAAATTCAACCAAAACAAATTAAAAAAAGGAAAAAAAATGTAAATATGTACCATATTGGAAGGTCTGACTCTTGGCCACTCAAAAGCCAATAAAGAATCTCAAAACATTATTTGTTTAGTATTATAGTGGGACGTGGTTAAAAATATTTTTAGAATGAATATAATTTTAAAAGTTGTTTGATTTTTATTGCTTAAATATGTTTTTAATCTTAAATAATGATAAAAACATCGGTTTGAGAAAAGCTATAATTTGTAGCATTTTTTAAATCTATTTTTTCTCAAAGAATAATTATAAAAATTACCACAATATCAAATACACATTAAAATAAAATAAAAGTTAAAAAATAAACCAAAACGGTTATTAAAAATGCTTAAAACTTTCAAGTAGAATCTCTTTAACTTGTTTATAAGTCAAATCACAAGAGTTGATCTCTATATCGGTCAGCTGAAAACTAATTAGTTTTTTTATTTGATAAAAAAGATAATAAAGAATAAACTATAAAGTCACTTAATTAAATTTACTTAATTGGTAGAAGATGAGTTATTGGTATAATTGATGGAGTATAAGTGGAGATGAGTTGTTGGTATAATTTGGCCATAATTAGTATCATAATTTATGATATTTTTCCCCTTACTCTTTTCTATAAATAAACAATGCATTCAAACCTTAAAGGTACACCAAGATAGAGAGAAGAAGAGAAGAGTGAAGAGAAAGTAATTTCACAAAATTCTAAGATATTTATAAAAGAGTAAATGAGGTGTTTTTTCCTTAATAATTGAGAAATTCTTAGTTGTTCTTCTATTGCTAGAGAGATATTGTAATTTTCATATTATTTAATAAACTCCTTCTATATTTTTCTGTGAACATAAACTAAATTAAATGAACCACATAAATTCTTATATGTCTTATTTTTTATTTTATTCTATTTCTTATCTTTTATTCTATTAAATTTGCATGCCAATATCTTAATGTAAACAACAATAATAAAAACCAACAGAATTACCCATAAGCAAGAAATCATCAGTTAAGAGAAGACTAGTAAAATTCAATGAGTATAATTAGAGAGAGAGAGAGAGAGAGAGAGAGTAAATTTGACTAAAAAAAAGAGACAAACGAGTAATTGGAGAGTGATAGAAACAATGGAGGCATGGGGCAAGGAATTATTATGAATAATAACAGAAAATTAATTAACAAGAACAAGAAAAGAAAAATATTGAGTTTTGTTTTTAGGTTTATTTTAAAATTATTTTTTATTTAATTATATCATAAAAAAATATTTTTTAAAAAAAAAAGCCTATAATGAGTTGCAAAAAAACAACACTTACTAATATTAAAAAAAATATACACAAATAAGAAAACACTATAAAAATTGAACAATATTAAATACAATAATATCTAGGTAGGTTACTCTGCTTCTTTCACGGGTCAGATCCAATATCTTTTAACACCAAAAAATGAACACGAAGGTATATTAATATAATAAAATATTTTATAATCTTATACAAAAAAATAAAATAAAAATTAAATGATATTTTATAAAAAAAATACATAAAAAAATATTTATAATTCATTTATTTTAATTTATTTCAATTAAAATCAAACACCTTGCCAAACTAAACATGCCATACATATACTTAACTAATTCATTTTATTTAGTCTAAATTTAAACAATGCAGGAAAAAAAGAAGATAAAAGCTAAAATAAAAAGGGCCAGGCCCATGAAAATAGCCCATTGAAAGAGCAGAGCCGTGTCCATGGCCTTTAATTTTTTTTTTTTTCCCTAGCATGTGATCCGTTTGTTTTTTTCTTTTTAAAAAAATATATAAATGGTTGATAATACGTCTTTGCTATAGCAAACAAGGCGTTATCAGTTTGCTCAATTTGGAATCACCACAATGATTGCTTGAAAAAGAAATTAAGTTATTTTTTATATAAAAACTTAATTTTTAAACACAAAAAAAAAGACCCTTTAACCTTAAAAAACCAATACCCAACCCAATAAAACCCAAAATTGGTAAAATAAAAAAAATCAATTAGGAGAAAAATCTCCCTCTCTCAACTTTGAGATGTTTTTTCTAGTAATATAAAACTTAAAAAATAATTCAATTACATTTCTCCTGTCAATGAAAACACTTGACTCCAAATTTAGTTATTTTATTATTGGGATCTGATCAACCAACCCTTTTCTTCTTCTTTTTTATTATTTTTCAACTACTCTCTCTCCTGTTTCTTTGAGCTCAAAAACTAAATATAAAGAAAATAAAGTTTTATGTCAAAACATATAATTGTGAAACTAAAAAAACTACAAAAAAATTTGGACAATTTTAAGGCTAGAAAGCATTGGAACTATTTTTGTTTTTAAGGGCTACCATTCCTATTCTTTTTTAATTTTGGTTCCTTAATTATAAATATATTGCAAACAACAAATTTGATTTTTGTTTTTTAAAATTAAGCACTAACTAGAAATTAAAAAAATTTTTTGAGATTGTGATAACCTAACATAAATCAAAACAAAACAAGTTACAAAACCTATGCCCCATAAAATTAAATTGAAAAGGAAAAAAAAGATAAAAGAAAAATGGATAAAAGAAAAGGGGATTTTTGGACAATTTTTAAGGCTAAAAGTCTCTTAGAACTCTTTTGTTTTTTAAATAAAAAGGCCACCATTCTCTTTTTCAATTTTTATTCTCAATCTCTAAATCTCTTGCAAACAATAAAATTGATTTTTATTTTGAAAAATTAAGCACCAGCTGAAAGTCAAATTATTTTTTAAAGACAAATTACAAAAATAAATCAAAAAAATAAATTGAAAAAAAATAAAAAAATTTAAGGACACAAAAAAACCATGTTGTGTGAATTTACATTACTTGTGAGGGTATGGATAGTGTTTTCATGAGTTGAAATATATTTTTTTAATAAAAAAATATAAAACAAATTATAAAATTCAATCCCATAAAATACAATGCAAAGGACTAAATCAAAAACAAAATCAAATAAAAAAAATAGACAAAACAAAAGAGAGATTTTTGGATAATTTTTAAGGCTAGAAGGCACGACTATTTTTTTATTAAAATAATTGTCATTCCTCTTTTTTCTAATTTTGATCCCTCAACTCTAAACCTCTTGCAAACAACAAAATTTATTTTTGTTTCATAAATTTGAGCAACGGTAAAAAGTCAATATATTTTTTTAATACTGCAATAATATAATATAGATTAAATACAATCAAATTATAAATTTCAATCCCAAAAAAATATAATATAAAATGAGTAAATTAAAATAAAGCAAATAAAAAAAAATTAAAGGAATAAAAAAGTTACTATGTGAATCCATAGTAACTTGTGAGGTGAGGGAAGTGTATGAATCTAATATAACTTTTGAGGGGATGAACAATGTTTTTAAGAGGAGAAATAGATTTCTTCTTAATAACCCAAAATAAATTAAATAAAAAAATTACAAAACTCTTTCTTAAAAAAAAAACACAATTTCAAAGGTTTAAATTAAAAAAAAATCAAATAATAAGAAAAAAGGACAGAAAAAAAAAAACAAGCTACCATGTGAATGTACATTAACTTGTTAGGGTACAAATAGTGTTTTCAAGAGTTGAAATAAAATTTTTTTAATAACCCAATATTAAAAAAATTACAAAATTCAGTAAAAAAAAACACAGAGACCTAAATTGAAAATAAAACAAAATAATAAAAATATAGAGCAAAAAAGAGATTTTTGGACAATTTTAAGGCTAATTTTAAGGCTAGAAGGTGCTGGAACTACTTTTTTATTTTAAAAAATTGTCATTCTTCTCCCTTTTCAATTTTGATCCCCCAACTCTAAATTTCTTACAAACAACAAAACTAGTTTTTATTTTACAAATTCAAGCATCAATTAAAAGTTTAGATATTTTTTTATACCACGATAATCCAATATAGATAATTTACAAACAAATTACAAAATTCATTCCCCAAAAAAATATAATGTCAAATGACTAAATTAGAAAAAAATGATTCGAATGATAAAAAAAATACAATATCAAATGACTAAATTAGAAGGAAAAAAAAAAAGTTTGAATTCACAGTAACTTCTGAGGTGAGGAGTGTACATCTATAATAACTTTTGAGGGGATGGCAATGTTTCCAAGAGGAGAAATAGGTTTCTTCTTAATAACCCAAAATAAATTAAATAAAAATAAATTATAAAACTTAACCTTCCAAAAATAAAATAAATAAATGTCAAAGGTTTGAATTGAAAAAATTAAAAGAACAGGAAAAAAATTATCACGTGAATCCATTATAAGTTGTGAAGGGATAAATAGGGTTTATAAATTGTTTCATAACTGGTCGCCTGATGGAAGTTCTCTCACACAGAATTAATTGTGCGTGAGAGACCTGTAAAGAAAATAAATCTCTCCACCAATCAGAATAGATACTGTAATGGTATCCCTGCCGCTCGGAACATGAAGCCGCCGTTTGTTAATGAGGTAAAAATAAACGGCGCCGAATTAGACGCGCTTTTTCAAACAATCAACCCCCAACTTATCCTAGAGCAAAAGATGTTTAAGCAGACCAAATCATGCACTTTTCTGCAATAATGAAAGGATACTTCGTAATAAATCCAACAGCCTGCACAGATGGACATCCATAAACAATCAAAATACTGGGCGTTTGGAAATGTGATGGGTTGATATACAGTTATTTTTTCAAGTGATTTTTATTTAGAAATATATTAAAATAATATTTTTTTATTTTTTAAAATTTATTTTTAATATCAACACATCAAAACTTTCCAAAAACACTTTAAAAACAATTTAAAGAAAAAAAATCAAATTTTCATGAAAAGGAAGTTGAACACAACCACAAACAGCCACTGAGGAGAAAAGGTTTTTATTTAGAAATATATTAAAATAATATTTTTTTTATTTTTTAAAATTTATTTTTAATACCAACATATCAAAACTATCTAAAAACACTAAAATAATAATTTAAAACGAAATCAAATTTTCATGAAAAGCAAGTTGAACACAACCACAAACAGCCACTGAGGAGAAGAAGAGCATAAAAAAAAAATTGAAAGATCTCATGGCAAATGCACAAAAGAAAATGAAAAATAACAAAAGCTATTGAAGCGAAATCCAGGAAAGTTCATCGCCCCAATAAAGCAACACGATCCTTCTGTATTGCCTGAGACAGGTTGATGTCAAAGAGCTCGCATCGTATAGGCATCTCCATCTCATAAAACGGGTTCTTTAGGACATAATCCGTGTACAATTCATATATGACTTTCAAGAGGCCTTCCATGTGCTGTGTTCCAGGTTCACACACCACAAAGAATTTTGTTCCTGTAGAAGGGAAAAACCCAAGTAAGTTTAAAAAGAAAATTCTAAAGTATTCAACGAGGAACGAAGAGCTTGTCACTACAAATTCATGGTTTAAAAAACATGGACTTGAGATACTTTTAAAGAATAAAACAGCCACAAATAAATACTCAAGTACCCAGCCCATCTACCTTAAAAAATGAGGCATGCTAACTAGAACCAAAAGTTAGGAAATAGCAAGCAATGCTCAGAACACTATAATCCATATGTTACAGAACATGGCAGTTTCCTGTAAAAAAATTTGGATCTAACAATCAGCTAGCTGATAATAACCTTTGAAAGGGTTGAAGTTCATTAAATTAAGAAAAGTGGTGTCCAAATTCCAACACAGAAGAAATTGACAATTAAGCATAAGATGGCAGGCTTATCAATAACCAAATAACTAAGAAATTGATACCTTGGTAAATTATAGAGCAATGCTCTTTCAAATATTGTACCTAGTATGCTTGCAAATAAATAAATATATAAATAAATAAAAGGGTTGAGGTAGCCACCAGTGAGTGATTGGAAGCAATGAAGATCAAAGGTGTCAGCTTCAAGGAGTTCGATGCCTAAACAACCAACAGTTGGTGATAGCTGCTGAGAGATGGCATGCATTGAGTGCCATAAACTAGCCACTCGTAGGCTATCATTTGTATCCATCCGTCCAGAAGATCCATAATCCTATATTTTTTTTTAAAGAAAAAAAATGAAACAGTAACCCAAACATCAAACATCACAAATTGTTATTATTAGCAGTAGTCAGTCACTTGTATTGCTTTCAATCATGATCCAATCAAGCATCACACCCCAAAATGCCCTTTTTGAGTTTTGTTTTTAGGTTTATTTTAAAATTATTTTTTTATTTAAATATATAATAATAAAAAAATATTTTAAAAAAAGCCTATAATGAGTTGCAAAAAATTTTTTAAAAAAAAAAGCCTATAATGAGTTGCAAAAAAACAACACTTACTAATATTAAAAAAAATATACACAAATAAGAAAACACTATAAAAATTGAACAATATTAAATACAATAATATCTAGGTAGGTTACTCTGCTTCTTTCACGGGTCAGATCCAATATCTTTTAACACCAAAAAATGAACACGAAGGTATATTAATATAATAAAATATTTTATAATCTTATACAAAAAAATAAAATAAAAATTAAATGATATTTTATAAAAAAAATACATAAAAAAATATTTATAATTCATTTATTTTAATTTATTTCAATTAAAATCAAACACCTTGCCAAACTAAACATGCCATACATATACTTAACTAATTCATTTTATTTAGTCTAAATTTAAACAATGCAGGAAAAAAAGAAGATAAAAGCTAAAATAAAAAGGGCCAGGCCCATGAAAATAGCCCATTGAAAGAGCAGAGCCGTGTCCATGGCCTTTAATTTATTTATTTTTCCCTAGCATGTGATCCGTTTGTTTTTTTCTTTTTAAAAAAATATATAAATGGTTGATAATACGTCTTTGCTATAGCAAACAAGGCGTTATCAGTTTGCTCAATTTGGAATCACCACAATGATTGCTTGAAAAAGAAATTAAGTTATTTTTTATATAAAAACTTAATTTTTAAACACAAAAAAAAAGACCCTTTAACCTTAAAAAACCAATACCCAACCCAATAAAACCCAAAATTGGTAAAATAAAAAAAATCAATTAGGAGAAAAATCTCCCTCTCTCAACTTTGAGATGTTTTTTCTAGTAATATAAAACTTAAAAAATAATTCAATTACATTTCTCCTGTCAATGAAAACACTTGACTCCAAATTTAGTTATTTTATTATTGGGATCTGATCAACCAACCCTTTTCTTCTTCTTTTTTATTATTTTTCAACTACTCTCTCTCCTGTTTCTTTGAGCTCAAAAACTAAATATAAAGAAAATAAAGTTTTATGTCAAAACATATAATTGTGAAACTAAAAAAACTACAAAAAAATTTGGACAATTTTAAGGCTAGAAAGCATTGGAACTATTTTTGTTTTTAAGGGCTACCATTCCTATTCTTTTTTAATTTTGGTTCCTTAATTATAAATATATTGCAAACAACAAATTTGATTTTTGTTTTTTAAAATTAAGCACTAACTAGAAATTAAAAAAATTTTTTGAGATTGTGATAACCTAACATAAATCAAAACAAAACAAGTTACAAAACCTATGCCCCATAAAATTAAATTGAAAAGGAAAAAAAAGATAAAAGAAAAATGGATAAAAGAAAAGGGGATTTTTGGACAATTTTTAAGGCTAAAAGTCTCTTAGAACTCTTTTGTTTTTTAAATAAAAAGGCCACCATTCTCTTTTTCAATTTTTATTCTCAATCTCTAAATCTCTTGCAAACAATAAAATTGATTTTTATTTTGAAAAATTAAGCACCAGCTGAAAGTCAAATTATTTTTTAAAGACAAATTACAAAAATAAATCAAAAAAATAAATTGAAAAAAAATAAAAAAATTTAAGGACACAAAAAAACCATGTTGTGTGAATTTACATTACTTGTGAGGGTATGGATAGTGTTTTCATGAGTTAAAATATATTTTTTTAATAAAACAAATTATAAAATTCAATCCCATAAAATACAATGCAAAGGACTAAATCAAAAACAAAATCAAATAAAAAAAATAGACAAAACAAAAGAGAGATTTTTGGATAATTTTTAAGGCTAGAAGGCACGACTATTTTTTTATTAAAATAATTGTCATTCCTCTTTTTTCTAATTTTGATCCCTCAACTCTAAACCTCTTGCAAACAACAAAATTTATTTTTGTTTCATAAATTAGAGCAGCGGTAAAAAGTCAAGATATTTTTTTAATACCACAATAATATAATATAGATCAAATACAACCAAATTATAAATTTCAATCCCAAAAAAATATAATATAAAATGAGTTAATTAAAATAAAGCAAATAAAAAAAAATTAAATTTAGATGTTTTTTAAAATATCTTTAAAACACAATTCGGTCGT